ATCAGGGGCGGGGCAGATGCTGTGTGCACGGGACAGGCCCATGTCTTGTCTTTCAACGTACAACGCAGCCTTGGTGGCCTCCGCGCGCACCATTCTACCCTCGGCCACGCGCGTGCTTGTTGTGTGTCGGAGTCAGGAGTGATCTTTGCGTAAAATATTGTTTGTTTCCGCTGGACGTACAAGTGGATGTATATATTGCATTGTGATTATTGTTATCTCTATATTCGCCGCCATCTGCGCTCGCGACCCACGACACACTTTTCGCAGTGCCATTTTTGGCATGCCTCTTTGAATTAGAAACCTGTTACAGTCGCAGCGGGTGACTTTGGTACTGCGCCACACACTCATGTTCTTCGTATGTTGTGATGCCTCAACTCGAGGCCCTCAAGCTTTGCGTTGGCCACGGCCATGTGCCGCCATGTCCGGGTGCTGTGCGAACTCCAGAGTGAACATGAAGTAAACACAGCCGGAGTATCAACGTTTTGAGGAAACAGAAGACGGCCAACTGCGACTCCCATGTAGTTCAGGTATACTTTACCAAACACAAGCTACCGTCCAACAAAAACACACAAATGTTTTGGAGCTTGGTTGCGGGATTCAAACCCATTTGGACACAACAGAGCTGCGCTTGTTGACACCTGCGTTGGCAGGGAGCAGCATCGCCTGGATGCTTGCTGCAAGTGCTTGACGCCAAGTGAGATTCTGAAGTTGGCATGTGCGCCCCCACATGCTCTGTGTACACTGCTGCATGCAACATTTGCCGTGTGGGTGTCTACGGTGGTGAGCCCATCCAGGCCCCACAGGGTAACGGCGTACGGCTTACTGCACGCAAGCAAGTTCGTTGATATTTCTTGGCATACTTGAAAACAAACAGAAGCTGGCGCTGTGCCTGCATCTACACACACATGGCACACAGCATGGATATGCCAATCCTGATGGACACAGTACTGTAGGCACCGAGCACTGCCAATGGGTAGGCGGTCGGCTGCTAAATCTGCTAGATGGACCCCAAAAAAAACAACAATTCTGTATCTGCTTGTTTGCGCTGTCAAGTGGGGCTCGAGCGCCCCCCCCCCCTGGCCGGTTGTCGTAGTCGCACTGCAAACGGGGCACAGAGTACACGGGGCTGTTCATCATAGTGTACCACTCAACCATCACCACATTCTCCGTGACCCTTGTGCAAAAATATAAATTAATGTAGGGTGGGGCAGTCGGCTTAGCAGGACTTGAACGATGGTGCGCTGTGCGTGCTGTGTGGCCCCTCTCAAGCCTGCTGCGTCACCATGGTGCACGGTGCGCTGCTCAGCAGCCAGCCAAGCCCGCGTCAGTAGGTTGATATACTTTACATCTAGCTCATCAACAGCTTGCTTGTCATAACTTAGTTGCATCCAGGCAGAGCACGGCGAGAAGATCAAAGTTGACACCACTGGCGTTGTGTATCACCTGTGTCGCCATGTTTCGAAAATCTTTGATAATTGCGCCTTAGAACAGGCAACACAGCGCCGGGGGTGACCGGCGAGGCACCGGAGGCAGGCACCTTTGCAACTTAGCCGTGTGCATAGAGAAGCCTAGCACTCATGGAAAATCAAGGCATTGCGGTGAGTCAAATGCCTCAGCAAACGCTGAGATCTCCGCAGGGGTTGCAAAGCAGCGATGCGTGCGCCGCGCCGCAGCAGCTGTCGTCAGAGCCGCTGCACGCGCGTTCAAACGGCCAATCGCTGGCATGCGGGCTGTTCCGCCTGGCCCATGCCACACGCAGGCGAATGCTGCACACCAGGCCGCAGGAAAGCTGGGGCTTGCTGATGGGGCACCCCCGGGCGGCGGCCAGGTGTACAAGGTGCGGACGATTTTGTGTGCGCCACGCTCAGCATCTGCTTCGCATGGGCGCACCCGCTTGCAAAGCTGATTGCGGCAGCAGCCAGCTTTGCGGCCCCTCCAGCAGCGTCGCCTGAAATCCCCTCTCCTGTCAGCCACCCAGACCCCCGCCATCCCACCCTCACATGCGTACCCTAGGAGCGCGTGTGCTTCAACCCCCACCCCAAAACCCTCACCATGGCGGGGGACTACGAGTATTTTGCGGCCCAGGGCCACCACCCCCTGGCCTTCGCACTGGCAGAGCTCGTGGACAATGCGCTCCGCGCCACCAAGGGCAACACGTGCGCACGCGCACAAACAGCTGCCGAATCTGCACGATTGCGCCACGGCTGCAAGCGCATGCACAACACCCCTGCTCTGGACTTGCGGCTGCACGCGCAACGACACAGCCAGTGCAGCGAATATCATAGGAGACAGCCAATGGCCTCATCGTTTTCGACCGCCTTTACGTGAGCGCAGGTCGCGGCCGCGCTCCATCGTGGTATCCCTGGTGCTCGACGAGGCGTCGTCGCGGGGCCTGGTGGCGGTCCGCGACAACGGCGTCGGCATGACGCCGCGGGTGCGCTCGGGCAGAGCGGCCTGGTGTGCGGATGTGCCTCGCATGCTGCTGGAGGCCGGCTTGTGGCAGAAGGTGTACATGCTTGCCTCGGCACGCGCGGCGGTGCGACCGTCCCTTGCCTTCCCTTGCCATTGATTGCGCCCAGCGCGGACCTTGCATGCGCTCGGCCCCCAACCCCACCCTGTGACCTCGAAGGAGCTGAACAACTGGGCGGTGATGAACCTGTCGATGGAGGACCGCGGGTTGCTGGACCCGGCCGCGCAGCAGCAGCAGCCGGCTGGGGGGCGCTACCTCAGTGGGGACATCAGGTGCGTGGAGGTCGGGGAGGTTGCAGGCCCTTAGTCATGGGTATCTGGTGCCTGCAGCAACACTCGTCCAGGCTTGGATAGGGTGACGGTGCGAGGTAGGGCTACAACCGGCGGACGGCAGTTTACATTCTATGAAGATGGCCCCCCACCCCTCGCAAAACCCCCCAGCTACTTTGGCGTTGGCTCCAAGAACGCGGCGTTCTACCTTGGCCGCACTGTGAAAGTGGTCACGCGGCCGCCAGGGGGCCAGAGCGTCCATGAGCTCTGCATACGCGGTGGGTGGAGGCTGGCCGGCATTCCCACAAGCTGCTTGCGTGCTCATCTGGAATCGCTCGCGCATCACACTGCAGAGCGGGTGACCTCTGCACCGTTGCCGTGGCACGCCAAAAAGAGGCAGTTCAAGTCCTGACCTTCGATGCTCTGAGTTTCTTGCTCATGCTTGCGATCCTGCAAGTAAGCCCTCTGCCCCTCATTGCACCATCCTAGGGGCTGAGCTGGAGCGGCGCTTCAAGGCGGGCGAGGCTGTCTACGAAGAGGACATGCTGCACAGGCCCCCTGGAGCCGCTGCCGTCGGCGCGGGCACGGCGGCCGGCGGGCCAGCTGCGCCGGCTGATGTGGAGGCGGGGTTTGGCCCCGCAGAGGCCTGGCTGGCGGAGGAGGTGGGCAGGCTCAGTGGGTGTGGGTGTTGGGTGAGGAGTTGCTGATCCAGGAAGAGGGCGGTACCGAACTCAAGGACCTTGTTTGTTGCCAATGCGCACTTTTTTCCAAATAGTATTGGGTGTGTGGGTAAGTACATGCGCGTTGACTGCCGCTTACGCCTGCTACATGTTACGTTCAGGCTGCGGGACAGGCTGCGGACGAGGCAAGCGGCAGCTTCACGCGCGTGGTGGTCGGCGACCTCAAGCCGGAAACGCTGGCCGCGCTGGTGGACGATGGCGCGCTCAGCGTGCTGCGCGACCTGGCGCACCTGTACCACTACTACATCCATGGGCCAAAGGGCAACGCTTTTGTGTGAGCCATTCCATCACGAACCAGCGTTTGCAGCTTGGTCTTTTGCATGCCTGTGTTTGCTGTGGTGCATGTATTCGCCCGCAGCAGTTTGCGGACCTTGCACGCCTTGCTCGCGCCTGGCCCGCGCAGAACGCCCGCGGCGCGAGCCCAGCAGAAGGGGCGGCACCAGCTGCCCGGCGGCGAGGCGCTGCCAGACATAGTGGTGGAGCTGCTGACAGACACATGCACGGCGCCATGCATTGTCGCCGGCGAGGGCGAGGCGGGCGTGGCGCCTCGCGCTGCGGCCTCTGACGGCTCGGGGCTCGGCAGCCAAGGTGATTCTAACAGGAGGGCCAGCCTGTCTTGCAGGCTGCCGGAGGGGTCATTCGGACCACCTTTTTGAAGCCTGCATGGTGTCGCCTCACTTGTCGCTTTGCATGGCCCACATGCGCCGGCTGTCTCCAAACCTCTGCCCCCCTGCCTTGCATACCTGATTGACACCCAGGCGTCCGATGGCGGCGGCGGCTGGCTGACGTGGACGATGACATGGAGAGCCGCTACCTGCGCGCCGCGCGCAGCACGCTGGAGTTCTGCCTGGAGGTCCCGGCCATGGGTGGGCGGCCGCAGCGCGACCTTAAACTGGGACCCCTTGCAGCATCACAGCCAGGCACCAGAGCCCTTGCTTTGCAGCCAGGTCAACAACACCATCATGTGCCGCTTGATGGCTGGCAGGCAGCCTTGTCGTGCGACCAAGCTGGATACGCGGCGCTTTGCCGCCTCCTCCATCCCCCTCACGCCCCATTACCCTCGCCGTGCTGCACGTGACGGTCAACCTCTGCTGCACCCGCTGCCCTCCCCAAAGGCACTGTTGAGGGTGTCCTGTGGTACTTCCCATTTGAGAACGACCAGGCAAGGCAGAGCATGGGCCTCAAAACGGGCTTGCAGCGTACGATGTTTGGGATATACTTGAGAGTGTTGGTATGCCAGCGATCCTCTAGCAGGCAGAGGCCGTCCTGCTGACATCAGTTTTGGCCCTCACTCTTCCGTCAACGCCCTGCAACCGCCCCGGGCGCTGCAGGAGACAGTCCCCGTGGACGACGAGACGCGCAGCCGGATGGCGCTCAGCGCAGCGGCAGGCAGCAACGGGCCCTCACAGATGGTGCCGCCGGGGGGCCCCGGCGGCGCCGGCCGCACGGCCGGGGCGCTCGCCCTCAACGCGACCCAGCTGCCGGCGCTGCTGGGGGGCCCCACGCAGGGGCCAGGCGGGGTGACTCAGCGCGCGCCACGGCTTGGGGGTGCTGAGCTGGAAATGCAGGATGCAGGTGCGGGGATGGGGTGGGGGCTGACCTGTGCAGGCCAGGGGCGATGTGACACGCATGGGGCTCCCTTGGATTTCAGATCATATCAGCATGCAAGCCTCACTTGTGTGTCTCTCGCTGCGGCGCACTGCTGGCGCTCCCCTCATCACCTGTAGCTGAGATGCTCGAACCTTGCCTGAAATGCCACTGTATCTGCCTACTGCCGTGCACAGCCACGTCACGTGTGCTGCAGGCGTCCCCAATCTTTGAGGCCTTCTGGCAGGGCCGCCTCATCCCTGGCGCCTGCGTGCCCAGGTGTGGAGAGGAGGGTTTCGCATGCCGTTAGAAGTGTCATCAATGTGTAATTTGTTGCTGGGCAATGACATGCTTGGCTGGTCCTGTGTAAGCAACTACAGCATTGGCTTGTCTTGACTATGTGCCTGCGCCCTTGCCTTCCCTACACCCGCAGCCTGCCGTTCCTGGATGCCACGCGTGCCAAGCGCACAGCCGCCGCCAAGGACCTTCTGCCGGACGAGGTGTTTGGGCGCATCAGGTGGGAAGTCCTGGGGGCGTGTGGACACATAGCACGCTTCCGACACATAGCATGCCTGACACATGGCACGCTCCTCACGCTGGCCGCCAGCGGTCCACCGCGTCCCTGTCCGTGCTTTGGGGTGTGGCGTTCATTATGTGCTTGCAGTCGTTGCGCTTCCGCGCATCCCTGTTCCAGCACACCATCCCCAAAGATACCCAACTTGGTTTGTTTTCTGACGCCGCAGGGGCGCGCTGTTCTGTGGGCCAGGGTGGCGCGTGACGCGCAACAAGCTGATGTTCCGGGACAACCTGTCGCAGCTGCTGGCCGACGCCGTGCCAGGTGACCTTTGTGGCTCGTTTGGTGGCCCGTCATGCAGTTCATTCCAGTTTTCCTCACTGGTGCGCCACCTTCATTCGCAACGGTAGTACACTTAAGCATTGGTTGGGTGCACACCAGTCATCCAGGGAGACGAAGCACTCCTTTCTCCACACCTGTGCAACGCACCCCCGACACCCCCCAAAACTCCCAAAACCCCAGCGGACCGCCACCTTGAGCGCCGTGCACGGGAGTGGCTGGTGGAGTGCCACCGCTCCCTGGACAGGAGCGTGCGGTTTAAGGGCATGGTCAACGCAGCCACACAGGTGATGGGGAGGCGGCCTGTTCCCCCTTATGGTTCTGCATCGACACAGCAAGTGTACATAATGTGATACACCAGTGTGTCCATGCTTTGAGCTCCACGCACTGGTCCCGCCACGAACCTGTACACATTTACACGCGCAAGTGGTGCAAGCGTACACACACACACACACACACACGTGCGCGCGCAAAGAGGGAGAGAGAGAGAGAGAGAGAGAGAGAGAGAGAGAGAGAGAGAGAGAGAGAGAGAGAGAGAGACGACGCATACGCACACACGCACGACACGCACACCACACATACTCTTACACACGGCAATGACACTCTTGCACGCACATTCACATGCATGCCGCATGTGCAGGCCCAAGCTCGCCGCGAGCTAGGGGAGGACGTGACCCTGTTTGAGCGCATCCACGACGGCCTGGGCGCCGTGGCCAAGGGGGATATCGTGCGGCTGGCCACCAAGCCGCAGATTGTTGGAAAGGTGGGTTTGACTCAGTCTGGTGTGGGTTCAAACATGGTGCAGTGTGCGGCGCTGATGGCAGGGGGAGTGAGAAAGAGATGATGGGAGAGAGTGAGACACACAGAGAA